TAGGTTAGGTTAGGTTATAGTGAAGAGAGATTTCCCTCATGGTCACCAGGAGGCTGCCACTCAACACACTCCCTCTTTCCTCCCTTCTCACCTCTTTCTCCCTCTTTCCTCCTCCTCTTTCCTCCCTCCCCACCTCCTTCTCCTCCCCCATCATCTTTCCTCCTTTCTCCTCCTCTTCCCTCCCCCCTACCTCCACCATTCCAGCAAACCACGACTTGGCCAAGGTTCAAGAAAGACTGGTTATGGTGGGGGAGACTTGCTGGATGGAGGGAGAGAGTTGGTGGGGGAGAGGGGTGGTGAGGGAGAGGGGGGGGGATATTGCAGCCCAGCGCGGCGCCGAGCGGAAGCAGTGAAGGGGGCGTGGCAGGTGGCCAGCTTGGGAGTGGTTGTAGTGATGGTAGTGGTTGTAGTGATGGTAGTGGTTGTAGTGATGGTAGTGGTTGTAGTGATGGTGGTAGTAGTGATGGTGGTTGTAGTGATGGTAGTGGTTGTAGTGATGGTGCTTGTAGATGGTAGTGGTTGTAGTGATGGTGCTTGTGATGTAGGTTGTAGTGATGGTAGTGGCACGTGATGGTAGTTTTGTGACAGTTCCTTACTAGTAGTGAAGGCAGTTTGAAGTGCCATGGTAGTTTGAACTGAGCTGCATGATGCAGTGATGATTGTTGTAATGACTATGTTTAGTAGTGATTGACTGTTTTAGTTGGTATGTAGTAAGAGTTATGTTGTTAGTTGGTGTAAAACTGGTCAAGAGAAAGTTTAAAAACCAGTCACCAGTAAATAATAACAATAATTATGTTCTACACACACACACACACACACACACACACACACACAGCAGCCATTTGGATACAGATTCTTAGGTTTCTTACGATAAAAGAGAAAAAAATCCCTGTTCCTGCCCCACAACAAGAGACATAACTGACTCAATTAATCTTCGACACGAGGCTAGCGTGAGGGAGGGGTTATGGGGGGTGGAGGGTGTGGGGGAGAGAAAATATGGAGTCATAGTTACATCGAGACGCAACTGTTAATCGTGAACTAGTGGATCTTTGAGTTGATGGGTGGGTGAGCCGTGGGTGAGCCAGTGGGTGAAGAAACGGTACGATGGATAGGCCAGTGGGTGAAACGGTACGATGGGTGGGGCAGTGGGTGAGGCGGTGGGTGAAGCGGTGCAGACGGGCTCGCTGTTGGTCACACTTCTAAAAAAAAAGGACAATATATTTCCTGTTAACGAGTGATAATACAGATACTGCGCCCTTCCTCCTGCTGCTGCTGGGGGAGCTAGCAGGGGTGATGGAGGAGGAGGGAAGGAAGGAAGAGGAGGGAGGAAGAAGATGATGATGATGAGAAGGAGAAGAGGAGATGGAGAAGGAGGAAGAAACAAGAGGAGGGAAGAGAAGGAAGGAAGAATGGGGGGGCAGGAGAAGGAGGAGGGGAAGAAGAGAAGGGAAGATGGAGAAAGAGGACGACGGAGAATGAGGAGAAAGAGGAGGAAGACAAAAGAAGGAGAAACGAAAGGAGGAAAAACGAAGAAAAGAGGAGGAGGGAAGATAATGAAACACAGGTGAAGCAGAGAATATGATAATGAACTTACCTGGGAGAGTTAATAAAAACATCTCCCAACAAATTTTAATCCAACACGAAAGATCTGTGTGGGAGAGGGGTGAGAGGAAGGGAGGAGGGAAGGGAGAGAGAGGGGAGGTGAGGGAAGGGGAGGAGAGGGAGGGAGGTAACAGGGAAGAGGAGGGGTGACGTGAGTGTGGGGAGGGAGGAGAGTGGGAAGGTGGGAAGGAAGGGGGAGAGGAGTGATGGGAGGTGAGAGAGGGTAGAAGGGGTGGGGGAGGTGGATTAAAATGAGTGTAGGAAGGAAGAGGGTAGAGAGGGAGGAGGGAGGGGAGAGAGGGAAGGTGAATGAGGGAGAGGAATGAGGCACGAGGTACATGACAAGACAAACGTTACCGAAGGCTGTAGTGGTGCCATACAGGTACCAACCACACACACACACACACACACACACACACACACACACACACACACAATAAAACACACTTAAGAGATTGAGGAGAAGAGAATGAAAACAATGCTAATGACTTATTTTGACTTATCGTTTCAATATAAGTTTCGGATCACATGAAGATTAACCACCCTAATGCTACCTGGAGGGTTAGGTTAGATTAGGATGGTTGACCTTCAGGTGCAATAAGCAAAAGGGGTGTCCAATCTTCAGGTAATCCTTAATTTCTTATGACATTCCTCGTGCCTACCTGTAATTAAGCGAGATTTTGCTAAGGTAACACACGTAAACTGTACCAGGTAGAAGTGCAGGCGACTGTAAGTGATGGTAATACGATGTAAACAAACACAGCGGTGCCACATCTCACAAAACACACCAACCACTGTATGTACCAGGCATAAATGCAGTCGACTGTACATGGTTACACAGATAGTCTCCCTCGGTCATTCTACCTGCCTCACCTGTAACACAATTAGATCATCGGAA